CACACACACACACACACACACACACACACACACACACACACACACACACACACACATGTATATTATAAGTTCGCCGGCAATATAAATTATTAGTTTTGTTGGCGCAAAGTTTTATGGGTTGCTTTGATACAATTTATATACATATGCATGTATGTATATACGATGAATATGTATGCATGTATTTATAGTCAGTAACTGATAAGGAAAGGTAGAGTCGCGATAGACGCAATTCGAATTCCGCGTGGAAAGGCGGGTATATTTATGAAGGTAAGGGTATACACATACATACATAAATATGTACATACTATTGTATGGTATGCGTAATTTCAGGTCCCCAATCTGGCGTATCATTTCAATTAAATATGAGCATTTGTACACGTACATGTGGACTGCTTAACTATGCTCACACTTTGAAGAGATGCTAAGTAGCATTTGGCGTGTGCTACCGTTCGATATTATTGATAAATCCAGCTAATTGATATAAATCAATCTAGATAACTATTTCTGTATAACACGCAACCGCAATGATGACGATGCTTTATTGCTTGTTTAATCCCAATTTAATTACTGTAAATTGAATATTGATTTGGGTCCTTTGCGTGCGCCAATAAATTACCAGTTGCCGAGTTTGTTCCATTTCTCTTTTCTATTGGAATATCAACAGTTTTTAATCAAACTCAAGTTCGATCAGTTGATTATCGATAAGTGATAGTGCCTAAAAGTGTGCAGCACTTTAATTTCCAATGGGCGATTAATTAGCGACCTGCCAACTCGTCTTAAATACACTTTGCTAAATAATTGAATAGTTGATATTTGATTGTTAATTTGTAATCAGCGAACTTATTTTTGTTTGCTTGCAGTTTTGATTCTATCACAGGCTGTGATTTTCCATATAACTTGTTTTTCTTTTCCAAGTAGCGATGCGAGCGGGGAAATTTCAAGAAATATCATTTATGATTTGTAAATATTGCCAGAATAACTAATCGCTAGAACAGTTACTTGTTTTTAGGCTAGTTGCAGTGCCCACATTGTAAGACAATTCTTAATATTTGAATTGCAACAAACCAATATATATATATTAGGACAATCTTTCTACCTATTTACTAATTTCAGGTGGATCTCACAATTCTTGCCGTTATTATTATACATATTCCATAGTTTTAGTGAATATTTAATTTCTTGCGGCTTTCCACACGTGCATACGCACAGCGAGTCCAAACTACTTGAAACAGAACAGATATTGCTTATAGAGAAATTTACTGTAATTTACTTAAGAGCTTAAATTTGTATGTCATATAAAAAAGGATTGTTATTTAAAAATTATGTATCCATCATTTTATTTCGCGTTTTATTAGTGGAACATTCTTCTGTCTTGAATGAACGATGTTGGTATTTGTTGTTCAAACGAACGTGAAACGTTTTTTCATTTTATCATTTAACGCGACGGGGAAATAAAACAACTTTTACATATTTCAACTCCCCACACACACAAAATAGCTTTAGATGTTGTTAGCTTCATTCTCCTACTGCTCCGCATTTAGAAGAAGAATCCAAGGATTTTGCCTCCAAGATGTTTTCTCCTGGCCTCCTCGTGATCCATAATGCCGCCGGATGTGGTCAGAACGACATAGCCAAACTGACGAGAGGGCAACAGGTTGTTGGTCCACTTCTCGATGTCGTTGATGGGCACATCGAAGCGTGGCGAAATGACGCCGCATTTGTTCAAACGTCCGGTTAGATTAACAACGATCTTGCCAGAGCGGTGATCGTCGACAATCTCGAATTCGCCAATGTAGCCGTGCTTCATCATCACAGTCAGGAACTTAATGATGACTTTGGAGCAGGGGCGCAGAAGCACCTGACGCTTGCCGCGCTTCTCGGCGTTGTTAATGCACTTCAGGGCATCGGCCAATACGTTCATACGCACCATGGCTGCAATTAAAAACAAATCAGTTTCCGCTTCATACATTAAAACAATAACAAAAAAAAAAAAACTGTCGGTATGCAAAAAGAAAACACGTGCAAGTACGGCGCCTTAAAAATTTGCTATGCGTGCTTGTCAGTCTCCTCTCTCTTTCCCTCCGTCATCCAAATCACTTAAGTATGCACAGGGCGAGAACTCTGTGTCAGGCTATGTAAACAACAACGCTAAATTTTGAAAATGGTCTCGCCCATTATTCAAGCGCCACCGGCAGCATTTGCTGGCGACTTTTCTGACACTTTCCACTCCCAGATCTCAGTTACCATTGAAGTAGTAGTAGAACCGACAAGAACAACAACACAGCAGCAACTACAGTCACAGCACAGCTGATACTGTCAAACATGACCGCCAAAGGCGGCGGCTTTTTGTACATTTTGCCACAAAACAGAAAAAAATAAATAAAAAAAATTGCTCTGCGTATTGCATAGCATTGTTTTTATATGCACTGATAATGTTCTCAGATTTGTACATTGGCCCAGCCCTTGCCGGTGTACTGACGCTATCAAACACATATTTTAAGTTTCGTTTCATACACAATAAAAAAAAGGCAAATGTCCGAGTATTTTGCACAAAAGTTTCAAGGCGCACGCACAAAATCCATAGCGCATATTAGATAAACGTTAATTTATTAATATTTGCTATGTTTCTAACAAGAATTCTGGTAAAATTTCACGTAGATTACCTAAGATTTAATTTTGTGGTTTTTCAACACAAATTTACACGACCGCGAACGTATCGGAAAAGAGGAAGTCCATCTTGCCGCATTTGACAGCTGCAGCTGTCAGGCGTATATACACACGGTTGCTAATAGAGCAGGGTTGCATTGAGTAACCTGTAAACGTTAAGCAGCACCGATTTTCAATCGGTAATTTTTCAACACTAGAACTATAATAACAATATGTCGAAACAGTAAATATTTATTCTTATCTAAAATAGAAATATACTAATTTATTTATATGCTCATAGGTTTGGTTTAATAATACCTGGAAAACAGAAGAAGCAACCGGAAAGGCCGCCACATCCACCAACCAAGCCTTCCATCTTCGACGAGAGCAGCAATAGTTCAGGTAGTGATAATGATGCAGCTGCTCCACAAAAGCGGCTCACCGGCAAAGCCGGTGTGGTTAGCGGACCCAGTGTAATGGAGCGACGTGTGGCTAAAAACATTCAGCAGAAGGCCCTGGCCGAGGATCCAACCATATTCCAGTATGACGAGCTATACGATGATATGGACAACAAGCGGGAGGCTGCTAAAGAGACGAAAAAGCTTGAGCCACGAAAAGCCAAATACATTGGCCGACTACTGGAACATGCAGAGCGACGTAAGCTGGAGAATGAACTGCGCGTCGAGCGCCAAGTGCAAAAAGATCGTGAAGCCGAAGGCGAAATGTATAAGGACAAAGATACATATGTAACTGCTGCGTATCGTAAAAAGCTAGAGTCCATACGACAGCTGCAAGAGCAGGATGCACGCGATGACTATCTAGAAGCAATTGGCGATGTGACAAAGCAGAAGGATCTCGACGGTTTCTACAGGCATCTATATGAACAAAAATTGGGCACACAGCAGGAAGTAATCAAGCCCAAAACAGCGTCCAGCTCAGAAGAGGTGGCTTACAAGCCAATCAAGCGAGAAGGACAAACTTCAAGCTCAACTAAACAGCGCATCTATAGAAGACAGCGTTCCTCGCTAGAGGACGACGATGATACGACTGCTGTGGCAACAACTCCCACAGCTGATAGCAAGACAGGAGCAGTGAAAGCGCATTTGGCTAACAATATAGATGCCGATTCAGATTTCAGCATTGACGACTCGAGCGACGAGGATGAGCAGACAACAGCAAAGGCGGCTGGCGACAGCAATACGGAAGTCCAGTCAAAGCCAGTGGCAGTTGCGGTCACGGTCGAGGACAAGGAAAAACAGCCTACTCTGGATGCAGAGACTAAACCACAGCAGGAACAGTCGCAGCCCACAGAGCAAAGCGCCGACAATACCACCAAGGAACCAGATGTGGAGACGGTTGTCCGACAGCCCATTGATCGCAGCTATATTTGGCGAAAGCGAACCGTAGGCGAGGTATTTGATAATGCTCTAGCCCGGTATCATGAACGCAAACTGGCCAGACGTGCCTGATCCCCGATCCGGTAATTTTATAGCTCACATAAATGCTAACTGTTATGTTCATTTTAAGCAAAACATTCAAATTGTACATATTTACTTGTATTGTCTTGTGTCTAAATGTGAGTTTGTGCTGGCTTTGTATAAATATTTTGCATAACTGTGGAAGGACTGGAAGGCGGACAGCGATACAGTAAGCACTTGGTACATGTAACAGCGCGCCAAATGTTAGATTTGCTAAATAAGTTAAGAATTATACAATTTTATTATGTAACTTAAACAGCTAAGTTATAATAATTGTATACTTGAATATTGATATTATAATATAGAATTAAATCCTATTCAAATTATATAAACATGAATCAATAATTTACTAGCATCTTGGGTTTAAGCTGCTTTCACTGTACTCTATTTATTTTGTATGTATGAAAAAATAAAATCCTCAACAAAGCTTGGCTGCCGTTCTTTTTTTATTTTTATTTACTTTTTTCAATTTTACTTTTGCTTAGCCACAAATGCCGCAAATCCCTTTTATAAATAGGTGTGTCCGCCATAAAAGTGAAAGCCGGCAACGCTGACATGCTTGGGTGCCATTTTTGTTGCAGCGCATTGCAGGCGTTCATATAAAACATATATATATACATACATAGATATATATGTATATATGTTTATATATACATATATATAGACTGCAACCAGGACTAGAACGTGCTTCTGTCAGTAGCATTTCCTTACTTTTGATGCTGTCAACTTGCCCGTGTCCTCGCCCTGTTTCTTCTGCTCCGCCTTGTCAGCGAAATTAATAGCGAAATCCATTTTCTATTTGGCAAAGCTGACTAGTGTCCCCATCTCGGTCTTTCTCACAGCTGCAGTCCGGCTGCCAGATGTCTTACATATGCGCTCTGTTTTATTCATGCTGTTGCCCCTCCGCGCACTCTCTCTCGCTCTCTGCCGTTTTGCTCGTTTTCTCATCCGCTTTCTGCTGTTGCGTTGCGTCCGCCTTTCAAGCAGATGGCTGTGGCTTCCTGCAGGTGGCTCGGCTTTGATTGTGTCATCAATCACAAGTTGCGGTTGTTTTGTTTACGCTAAGAGCTGTACTACATTTTAGGCAAATTAATAGACATGCTAACTGCAGCGCATTCTGCTCACGCTAGAGTGAGAAAGGATTATGTCAGATCGACCAGAACGATTCGGCATCTCGCTCTGCATCGTGCAAGCGATCGCGACTTAAAGCTTTCTCTTTCTTCGACCATGTTGCTTACAAAATAAAAGAGCTTATTTGAAGAAGGGAAAAGGCTTGCAGATACATAGATTTGTATGTATGTATGTGTATGTGTTTAGAGAGTATATTCTATTCGAATATTCTCGCTTCCTTTAGTAAAACACATTAAGGTTATTCTTAATATTTTTTTTATACAGACAGGCATATGTACACAGGTACATACATATGTATTTATGTCTGTTTATGTATGAATAATCTATTACCACTACATTGTACATGACCATGTTTTGTGTGCAGTAATATGACCCAATTGTCTCAATATGTAGTACCAACAGTGGCAACAGCAACAGAGGCTGCAACGTGTGCCCATTGCGCCCTAATCAATTTGTGATCATAATTACATGGCTTTGGTTTTGGTTATCCGCCTCTTGGCCTTTGGCGCAATTCACGAATCGAACAATTTCAATCTGGCCATAGCGTTCACAAAGCAAACAATGCAACGTATGGGCTCCATCTATACCCAGAGCAATAAACCAGAGCAAAGGCTTAAAGATGTGATCATTCACGTGTAAATTCAATTATCAAAATTTCAAATGGCCCCGCTTCCAACTGCTGTGGTCACTCGACTCCTGGGGCCTACTCCCTGTGTGTGAGTGTGTACATGCACTTGAAGAAAAACTTTGTACATAGTGAAAAGCCACAGTTCACAATTTTGATATTGCTGTTTTTATATATATATTTTTCTTTGAATATTAACTAAAATAATATATCAGATTCATTAATATTCCATAGAGCATAGAATTTTGTAGATCTGGCAATATTGGTTAACGAATTAATTGTAAAATGGATTGCAAGCTTTTCGTAAAGTGTTGTCGCTCGTCTATGTGTGCGAGTGCCGATGCGTTTGTATGAGTGTCTGTGTGTGTGCTGGTGATTTATATATGTGAGGCAGACGCAGGCCAAGGCACAGGAGCAGGCGCGTCCAAATTCCGCTGCAATGGACAGCAGCGGCCGTGTAATGAAAAACTGCGCATGGCTCGAAAGATGTGCAAGGGTTGCCCAAGGGGGCGAAAGTTGAGAACGGGCGAAACTGCCTGTCGCCAAGGCGAAATGACAAGCACACACACACACATCGTATCTTCACCACATTTCTATGTGTGTGTGCGTGTGCGTGTGTGTTCTCGTGTGCGGGGGTCGCCTAATAAGCAGGAAATTAAAATGTTATATGCATTGCCATTGCCCCATGGCTGCGCTTCGTCTTTCGACTGGCATTGTCAACTCGGCGGCTGCGGCTGCCTCCATTGTGGCAGTACCACGCCCACCGGCCACCGCCCATCGCACACCGCCCACCGCCCACCGCCTTGAAGTATGCATTATTTTTACGTGTCAGTGCGCATTTTTGGCATAATTGAAGCACAAACTGCGCTCCGACTGCCTCACTGCCTGTCCTGTGGCTGCAGCTGCGGCTGCGGCTGTGCCTGCTGAAGGTCGCCCCACCGACATGACATTGCGTATACGCCAGAGCCGGACGGAATGGTGTGTGAGTTGAGAGATTGTGAGAGTTGTGAGGATGATGGCAGAGGCTTGGGGGGTAGTGAGGGACTCGTTGCATCCAAAATTTTGTGCTGCTTCAAGTTTTGGTCGACAGTTGCGCATTAAGGCAAGAACGCTCTGCCGAACTGTTCGCCAATACCAACAACAACAACAACAACAACGAAATGCAAAGACTAAAGTTTGCCCCCATCTATTGTAACGATTCTTTTTGGGTGATAATTTTGAATACTCTTTAAGCAAAGAGCTGAGCGTAACGGGAAGGTCTATTTGTCATGCATTTGCCTACATCCTACATACATACATATGTGCATATATACTCACAGTTGATTGCAAATCTGCATGCCTGCATAGACAGAAAAATTAAATAAATAATCCATAAAATCATTGTATTAGTTTAACTCGAAACAAATAAAGTTCTTAAACTATTGATCTATAATTCAGCTGGATATGTGCGCGGTATCAGGCAGTCGATCAGCCATGACACTTATTTGCTTTAAATAACTTCCTTTTGCTTTGGATGCAATTTTTGGCTTCAGCTTCAGCTCCAGCGAATTCAGCAGCCCCAACCCCGACCGAATCCTGGCGCTCTTACGCACGAGCGTGTCGACCGCCCACTTTTTCGTGTTTCATTACGTTGACCCTGCTGCATTGTGGGGGCGCTCGCGTACTGTGCAAAACCTAATTAAAAGTGCTTTATTATGCAATTAATGTCAAGATAATATCGCATTCGCATTGTGCTGCACTGCACCAGCCACAAAGGAGCAAGTGTCAAAGTGGGAGATAAAGAGAGAGAGATAGTGAGAGACAGAGCATGAAATAAGAGCAGACACATACATGATCCTTTCACCCTGAAGAATATTCAGCATTCCCAAAAATATTAAAAATAACAATTATTGATATTAAATTAATTTTCGTGCCCATGTCATTCGTTGAAAATCGTGTCAAAAATTGCTCATCTCTATGTAAACTATCGTGCTCGGCCAAAGTTTGGGCTCAACTTACTTTTGCAGCCTCTCTCTCTCTCGCTCTCCCACACACGCTCTGTTAGATTGTTGACAATTATTTTGCATAAATTTCATGTGAAACACAAGAATGTAGTAAAAATTGACATTTTATATGTAAAGAGGTCTGTATGTATGTATGTATGTACTTGGCCAATGCCCTGTCCGTTCGCCCGTTCATCCGTTCGTCATCAACGAAATTGTGTAGAGGCTGGGTGGGTGTGCAGCTGACTTTTGGGTCTTGGCTCTAGCTCTTTTTGCATTTGCTCTGATTTATGTGCCTTTTCAGTTTTGGCACAAAAATGCGATCAGCTTTGCTATTGTTGTTGCTGTTTGCGTCTTCGTCTAGCGCTGCACTGAGAGAGACAAACGAGAAGGAAATAGACAGAGCACGTGTAGGCTTAGCTGTCTCTACTTGTTCCTCTGCAGTTATTCAGGCGCACCACACACAAACACACGACTTGTTCGCCCATTCTCTTCTCTATTGCTATTCACCCACACATAGAATACGGTGTTGTTGGTATTTCTGTTGATACGATAAAACGCAAAGCATGCTAATTTATTGCTGTTGATTTTAATAACTATGCTAAACTTTATTGAGTGGCTATGCTATGTGGAGTGTGTGCAGCTGAACTGCTACTTGGCATTTGCTGCATTTCGTTCTGCTTTGTGGCTTGGCAGCATAGCAATTTTTATTTCAGCTTTGCTCTGCTAGGCGTTGCCACATTGCTAATTGCATCTCAAGATGTTAATTGCAATTGCTCACTTAAAATGATAACGCTTAAAGCCGAGCTTAAATTTACTTATACATTTTTTTTTTATTTGTTTGCTGCAATAATGTTCGAATGTTCTAGTTGGGCTCTTTTAAGTCTGTATATGGAAGGATGAAAAGTAGCAAAACCAAGAGATTGTATAAATATTTCAGAAACTTTTTCTGTCTCTGTCACTTTCTATGAAAAGCCACACACGGCTGAAGTTGGCATTTTGAATGGCATATTCATAATTACAATTGTAATTAGCCTGCATTCAATGGACTCATTAGGGCTATTCCCACATTTCGGTTTGCAGTTGCAGTTGCCTTAATTGACAGCAAACAGCAGTTGAAATGCGTTCGCCACTTCCCCTTTTCTTTTCCTTTCCCCTTCCCCTTATATTTACACTTCCCATTCTTCTCCCTGTTCTAATGCCAGTTCCATATTTACCTCATCCGCCCTGTGTGTAATAATAATGCGAATAATTTGTATGAAATTCCTGCTCAGTTAAGTTCGCTCTCCGCAATTGCAAATAGATTTCAATGTAAATGATTGTGAATTTCAAAACAATTTTCTTTGTGTATCGAAATTTGACCATAAATCTATATGCATTCAAGCTGAGCTGCGCAGTTCAATTGAGCCGCTCACTCAAATGATCAACGTGCTTAGTGCTGAGCAAAACTTTTGAAGTTCCATTGAACTAAAATGAAATGTAATGAGCCTTGGAGTTGGTTCATGAAATTGAACCAGAGCTGCCAGTCCTAATTGTGTTAAAAAAGTTAGCCTATAGTGGGGAATAAGGAGGGAGAGGTGAGCTGGGCGGTGGCAGAAATTCAATTTCAAATTGCATTGAAATAATTTACAATTTTCCCCCATTCGTTCCATTCGCTATTCGCCATTTCCCATTATTGTGTTTTGTGTTATTATTTCGGCCCGCTTTATTCGCGCAATTTGAATTTTGCGCAATTTATTTACTTTGACTCTTCAACTTTTCGGACGGCCACTCGAATTATACAAATTTGTTTCAATTGCTTTCGCATTATGTACTTATTGTAATTTTTGTTGTTGTTTTTGTTGCCTCTATATCCACGAGAAAACAAAAATAAAACTAAGCAAAACGAAATTTGTATTGGGAATTCTATCTTATTGAACACAGTTGATTGCAATTACACACACACACACACACACACACACACAAAATACGGACATACATATGTACATACAAGCGAACATGCCATAAAGGAGAACTGAGTATTTGGCATACTAAACGATTCTTGCTTAATCATTATCATCGGGTAGGTCAAGTTTGATCGAAGATTTTGTTCTTTGCAGTTGGTCGAGAAATCGTCGACCATCAAATAAAAAGTTAATTAATTTTTATTTTAAAAACATTTGCAAAACGGATGTCATATGTGTCCAGAATCGCATATACATATTTCACTGTACTATATATATAGCCGTTTATTTATTTTACTTTAATAGTAGGAACTATAAAACATAATTTATTGTTATTATATCACTGCAAAATCCGAGTTAATTAGTTTAATTAATAAATTAATTTAAACAAAAAAATTATCTGGCATGGTTCATGTCTCTACTTGCGTGTGTGTGTCTAAATAATTTAACATTAAAAAATATTTCGTTAAATGCAGGACTGTTAAGTATATTCGTTATATTTTCAAAATTTCGTTAAGTGTGGAGTCACCGGTGACCTTACAGTCCACATCAGTTAGTCAAGTTGCCAACCGATTTCCATTTTATAGCAAGTGTATTGTGTCCCAAAAGTCGGGTCGCAAACCATACAAAATAGGTATAACTAAAGCTCAGACAACATCCTCAACTTAAGAGAGAAATGCAAGGGAGCGCTTTCTATATATACGCGTTTTGTATGCGCATAAGCAGCTGGGCAATAACTGTAGCCTGTTTTTGGGCGCACTTTCCTGCTCAGTTGGCCAAGGGATGTCGTCCAGCAGGGACAACCAAGCCGCGGACGCTGCTCTCGTTGGCTGCCAATTGGCCAGTCGTAGCTTTTATTGTTGGTGTAGGCGCTGCTGCTGCTGCTGTTTGCGCGTTTGTTATTGTTGTTGCACATCTGATTCCCGTTGTCGTAGTCATCGTAGTTGTTGTTCTTTTTGCTGACGGTCAGCAGCATCGCAATTTTTGTTATTGTTGTTAAGACGTGCAGTGTTAAGTGTTTGTTGCCTAAAAAATCTACAGAAACAAGAACAAAAAATAAATAAATAGCATTTACAGTTACTTTGCCTGTGGCGCCCTGTGATATTTGTGTAGCAGAATTTAAAAGGAAATTACAGTCAAAGAGATATTGAAATAAATAATCACACAATCAAAGGTAAATTCCACAAAAAGTGAAAAAGGATTTAAACAACCATTTTAAAATTAAACAAAAGAATCTATCATAATATTTTTTACTAACAAACGCTGCAAATAGAATATATGTATGTACATATGTAGATAGAAAATAAAAAACATACATAAATACGCATCCATATACAAATGTGTGCATGTACATACATACATATGTACATATAAAGCGTAAGCTACTTGCAGTTTCCGCTATGTAATTGCTCAAGTGTGCATGCGTGTGCATGCATGCGGGTGTGCGTGTGTGTGTATGTGTTAGTGTTGGTTTGTTCTATGCTTCCGCCGACATGCTCCAATTTTGTGTTATCTGCTGCTGCTCCTGCTGCTGCTTCTTCTTCTATCACTTTTGATTGCTTTGACTTTCGCTGATTTTTTGTGTCATCCTCAACTTTCTCTTTTAAAGCAAGTGTGAGTGTGTGTGTGTGTGAATAAAGTGTGTTGGCCCATTGCTAGAATGGTCTGACGTGACCAACATTCATTTTGGCAGGCAATTGGATATACTGTCCGAAAAAAGCAGGTCACTTCTCTCGGCACAAGCCAAAGAACTCTCCCCATCTACAGCATTGTATGCGGCTTGTAAATAAATCAACTAGATAACTAGTATTTATGCAATACATAGACACACACATACACACACACACACACACACACAAATATATTGTCACTGTGCACAGTGGAATGACCTCGCAGTAGGTTAATGAAAAAAGCCCTTGTTGTTGCTGCAAAAAGTTCTGGTTCTGCAGCTACTTGCCAAAATGGCCGACACTCTCCCCCTCCCTTTCCCTCTCCCACTCGCTATTCTTGCTCATTTGCACTTTCGTTCTCCTACAACGTGTGTGTGTGTGTGTGTGCAGCTTATTAAATGCTTATTTAATTATAATGCATTTATGTTGCTGCATAATTAAAACAAAATGTCGCCGCCTGCAAATTTTGGCAGTTAAGTGAGAAACAGTGTTACTTGACGGCTGCCCCTCCAGCTACCTCACCACATCCCTCGCCCTCTCCTCCTCTTGGAAGCGTACCGTATTAGGCTAATGGGCACTCAGTGGAAAGAAGCAGAGCAAGAAGATGATGAGCAGATGATGTCAGCTGTAAATGGCCTGCTGAGCTCTTTTTCTAACACACACACACACACAAATACGCGTGCACACGTATACATTCACGTGGGTACGAAAGTAGGCAAGCGAATGAACATGAATGCATGTTGCATATAACAGTTATTGGATTGTTATAAAAACAGTTATGCGTTGTTCTAGCTGGTAGCTCTATAACAAGCAACTGTAGTTTCCCTCTTTGTTTTTCGTTGCTTTTCCCCAATCCCTATCATGTTTGATGTGTGAATGACACAGAATTAAGCAAATTGTGCAGGTCAGTGATATACATACATACATACATATATAAACAAGTCTTAATCAAGCTGCTGCAACATGCTGCAGAGAAGAAGAAAGCAGAATGAGGATTGCCTGGCTGCCTTGTTGACATCACAGCATTTTGGTGGCCAGTGTGAAATATGGGAAACAATAATTTTGTAGGATGCTGCCCGTTGACGGATGTTTGGCCTTTGAAGTGCAAATGCTGCAGCTCCGGTTACAAATTCAATCAAAAAACTGTCAACTGTTAGCTGAAAAGTGTTGGGAGAGGGGGGCGTGGCAGGCCAGGCGAGCTGTAGGGTTTGTATAGGTATAGAAATAGAAATGGAGAGCGACACCTGCCGCACACAATTATCGCCGATGATATGAGCTGGCAGACATGATAGCGTCTTCTTCCCATAAAAGAGACAGTGAGAGAAAGACATAGGCAGGGGGGAGGGACTAGGTGCTGCTCTAGCTGTAAGGCGATGCTAGATGAAAGCGTTGTCGTTTGTCACTCGTTTCATTTTCATTGTGCCCATCTTTAGCTTTGTCTTCATCTCCGTCTCCGTTGCGGACCTGCCCACTCATCGTTTTTCCCATGAAAAGTTTCGTATAAGGGAATTCAAAACTGTGCCAAGTAGAGCTCAGCGCGTGCTCAAGGGGCTGTCCCTTTGAATGGGTGCCGGGCACCATGTCCAAAGATCTCTCCCGATAGACTATAAAACGGCGTAAGCGTACAAAATAAACCAATAAAAAGCGGCTAAGATGTTCAGCCACTAGGACAATAGCAAAAGGGAGTCCAGGGACTCCTTGCCAGAGCGGCAATGTGTGAGACAGAAACCAGGTCGAAAGAGCTGTGTAAAAATCTATTCCGCAAACAAGGAATAAACTTAAGATTGTGGGAAAAGGACAAAAGTATGCCGAGGAGCAAAGCAAGAAGATGGGACTGCTCGAAAGTGATGGGAATCAAAATTAAGAAGAGAAGACGGAATGGAAGAAGACAGAAGAGAGAAATTGATCAGCTTTATTAGACTCTAAGAAACCGCTTCCGGTTAAGTACTTCTCATTTCCCTTACTGCCATTCTCACCTCACTTGTCTTTCAGCCATCATCCAAGCGTGGATATGTGCACTGCGGGCACCAGCTGCAGCTGCTGAACGAATTGGCAATCGCTTTCACTAGCTACCTGGCTAACAAGTTACCTGGCTACGGTGACGATGGACGGAGCACCATTGTCGCTGACATTCACCAGCCTTGCGCTGTTGCTGCTGCTGCTGGTGATGTGCGTGTTGCTGGGCTGCCATTGCTTGGGTCCTCGCGCCGCCAGCTGGATGCGAATGCGCTCCAGCAAGGAGGAGAAGATCGGGCTCTCCAATCACAAGCACAAGCTCTTCCATCCAAATGGATATATGGCAAGCGTAAGTAGTCAGAGCAGAGTCAAGGCTGCGCGGGTGTATTCTAATTGTTTCACGCTTGCACAGATCCAGTCCGGCTCGGAGTTTTTGCTGAGCACTAGCGGCAGCTTCAAGCGCTTCGATACCATTGACAAGGACGATCACAACCGGTCGCAGCAGCAGCTGCAGCAGCTTCAACTGCAGCAGCAGCAGCAGCAGCAACAACAATTGCTGCTGAGCAATGCAGTAGACTCGACGACGCCCTTGTGGAATCTGCCGCAGGCGGATGTCTGCATTCCGCCACAGCCGTTGCGTCCGGCGCCTGCTCCCAACAGTGCCGGACCCAGTACCAAGACCGTCACCTTTTCGTTCAGTCAGCTCAATGAGGCAGCGGAGGCACGCTCCAATCCGCAGCGCTCGCCTTTGCGTGCAGCGGCCGCAGCACTGCCACAGCCGCTGGAGGCGCCTCCAGCGCCGAGACTAACGACTTCTGCATCCGTGACGCTCTCTGCGACGGCTATACCGCGACCCATAGCCAAGCGACAGATCTCACTGCAGCAGGGCATTAATCGCACCACGGAGGCAACGCAGGCTCCTACTCCCATGGAACCCAAGGTGGAGCGTCGTCCACCTGCGTTAAAGCGTCGCAACTCCAGCACAAATCCCTTCCTATGCGAGTCCACAGAGCAACTTCCTCCGAGTCAGCCAGATCTTCAGCCCCAGCCCGAGTCGAAGCCTGCGCCTGAGCTTCAGGCTCAGCCCAAAATCGAGTCAACGCCGCCTCCTTGCCCCAACGGCAATCCGTTTGTGCACGAGGGTCAGAGCCTTTCCAGCCGCCTCCTGAAGCTGCACAACACCAACAATCCATTCGCGAGTCTAACGCAGCGGGTGAAGGGACCACACCTGCTGCAGAAGACCATCTCTGAGGATTATCTATTTCGCAAGCTGCCCAATGGCCACGGCCTAAACCTCAGCAATGGCTTGAGCAATGGATTGGCCAATGGACTGAGCAATGGTAATGGCAATGGCAATGGCAATGGCAACTCCACCTGGTGCTTTGGCCGTTCGCTACTGCGACAGGAGTCGAGCATTAGCCTGGGTCTGGGCAGGCGCAACAGCTCGCAGGTGTCGCTGGATGGATCCATGGATGGCATGCAACTGGAGCACGCCATCTCCTGTGATTCGGTCAATTCGGATGCATCTTCCCTATGTCTGGATCAGCTCGATCAGCCCTACACACAAATCACGGGCTATCTCTGCGTCGGCCTTCAATACGAAAAGTAAGTAACCAAATTTAGATTGGGTATACCAGAAATGAAACTCGTTTTGGGTTACTCAGACACAGCGAGGAGCAGTTAGAGCTGACGGTCAGCGTGCTGGAGGCCAAAGGACTTATCTGTCCGCTTAGCATGGGACTGGACTCGCTGGACACATTTGTGCGCATCTATCTGGTGCCCGATCATGCGGGTGGCATGCAGACCAAGGTGAGTAGCACCAGGCATTGAAGTACTTCTGCCCGCTACATCACCCTCCCCTGCCTCTTACCTGACAGGTGGTGAAATCAACGTTGACACCCGCATACAATGAGAGCTTCAACTTTCGACTGAAGCGACAGGCGGGCAGGCATTCGCTCTGGTTCCACTTGTATCACAATGGGCCCGCCCACACGCTGATCGGGGAGGCGGAGATGGAGATCGGCGAGATGGCCAAGCCGATCACCACTTGGATACCACTCTCCGATTCACGTAAATGCAATGCTCGCTGGGGAGAGCTAATGTTCTCGCTGAGCTATCTGCCCACAGCGGAGCGCCTGACTATAGTCGTGGTCAAGGCGCGGAATCTCAAACTGGAGCTGGACAACGGAGCAACGGAGCCGACGGCACTGCAGAACATCTTCGTGAAGGTGAGTGGTGAAGGCGCCTCCACAGTGATGTCTTACTTAGGCTCGTCTGATTGTCCAGGTCTATCTGATGAACAACGACAAGAAGGTGCTGAAGAAGCGCACCTCGCTGAAGCGCAAGGATCGCTGTCCCATCTTCAACGAATCGATGATCTTCAGTGTGCCGCCCCAGGGTCTGACCACAGTTCAGTTGCGTCTCACCGTCTTCGGTGTCACCGACGGTGGGGCGATCGTGCCTCTGGGTCATGTCATTGCCGGCAGCTGTGCGGTGGGCAAGGGCTTGCGCCATTGGCATCAGATGCTCTCATCCCTGCGCAAGCCCGTGGCCATGTGGCATGTGCTACGGCGTGCCGCCAATCAGCCCATCTTCATTGGCGGCGCTGAGGCTGTGGTGGCAGCCATGCAGAGCACGCTTCAAAGGGCGACCGCCAAGCGCAATAGCATCGTCTAGACGAGCAGGATCAAGACAAGTGTTGAGGATGAGGAGGGCGAGACAGCAGGCGAGGAGGCGACAAAATTACCAGAGAAATGGAAAGAGAAGGCGGGAAAGAAAACGATGAAAAAGCTGAGAGCGAGAGTACAGAGAGCTTAGCTGGAAGGCAAAGAGGAAAGCTGATGTAAGACTTGGAGCGAGACCACCTAGACACTTCAAAAGTAAAAGCTATAACTGAAGCGAAAGTGGGCGTTTGGATCCGTGTAGCCCTGCGTGACAGTCGAGCCCGTTACACTACCCTTTACCTTTCCCCGCCCGATCCGCACTGTAGTGTCTCTCCCCTGTTCAACTTGCCGCTCAAAGAATATACCCTCTATATTGCATTTACTAAATTTAGTGCTCGGCATTTTTCTTACTTTTTTACGGAGGATTTCCTAGAACACATTCGTCACAGGGCAATTAGACTTTAGGCATTATCTAATACATAGGAGATACCACTTATAGACCCATATTATATCAGATACCACTAACTAAAACTATAACAACCAAATGCAAATACCTAAACTAAACCCGCACCAAAGGACAAAACGAGCCTATATTAGCTAAATCACACATTCTAATGCATATATGTATATCTATAGCTCTATATATATATATATGTATGTAAGCACACAATATATATACCTAAAGACTATAGTCGTCTTTCTACACAATATATTTAAATTAGATAATTCATGCACCCATTGTTATCAAGCGTTTATACTAAATATCGACATCGATAATTATCGTTCAGCAACGAAAATACAAAATTTAACAGATGAAACATGAACAGAAGGAGAATTGAGTTTTCGGCAAGCCGAATATGCTCTTGTAATACCCTTGTAATACCCTTGCAAAATCATTGATTTACAGAACAATCGATTGATCGTTTACTCAGATTTATCTGAAACTATTGAATGATTGATGTAGATTTATCTTTTGTTAACTTATTGATTGACTGATTGAGGGATTTATTGATGTTAAGTTGATCGTTTCAGTTTTAGCAAGGATATCAAATGAAAACTATTATGAACGATTTAAGCTACAGTTGGTCAAGGATGTTTTCGTATTAAAGGTTAAATAAGCTACAGAAATATATATTCTATGAATAGATAGAACGTTTACTGGCAATCATCATTGTTGAAATATTATTACAAAAGAAAGAGTAAAAAGTTATTGCATTTGGGCGATAAGTAAAAAAAACCCAGAGTAGTGCGATGTGATATGATATAATTCAGATTTAGCTAATTATACATTAGATACATATATACTATCTATGTGTATATATATTTATGTGTTTTTATATTTGAATTTTTTATTGTGTTAAGAAACCAGCAAGTATTTACAAAATGTATTAAGGATATACATACACATATATGCATATATGTATATCCACAAATCAACAGACTTTAGAAAACGTTTAGAGTTTTAAGATAATTTTTTGCCGAGAATTTCATAGTACATTTAATTTTTGAATAAACGAAACCAAAAATAGTCAAAAGACAATAAAATTGCAAGCATTTAAAACAAAACGGAAATTAATTATATGATTATTAAATAGTGAACAAATTCATTTCCGTTCATTCAGTCCAGATCCGCACGTCTCTCTCTATGATATATATATATAAAACTAACAAATTAACTTGCTATATCTATGCATAATCCACACATTTTAAAAATATTTAAGCAAATGACCAACAAATTCAGAAAGAAAACAAAAAACCTGGCACAAACCCTAGCAGCTTTAATATTCCAGCTAATTATTTAAAAGCGAAAGTAAGATTAAATAGTGTTAGTGTGCAAAAATTCAAAATTAATATAACAGAAAAATAAAATAGTATTTATGCTTATAAAATGACAATTATAATTTAAAAAAAAAATACACATATTAATTATATTTAAGAGTAATAATATTAACAAAAATAATACAAATTAATACGTTTACTTAAAAGATAAAAACAAATCATAATACAATGATAATTATATTGAAAATACATAAAAATGGAAAACTTTTCAATTATAATATATCGAAAAATTAAACAAAATCATATAATAGTAAAAAATAATATTTTCCAACTTAAAAAATGCGAAATAAATATCAATGAAAGTGTATTTAAAAAACCTGATTACTAAAAAAAATATCAAAAATATAAAATATAAATTAAAATGAATATTAAATAATTCAGCTATATCTGATATATGAAAAAATTGCGCTTTAAAGTTAATCAACAACAGTTTTGTACTTTAAATAACAAAATATGGAAATAAAACTCAAAAACAAATTTGAAAAAAAAAACAAAAAGAATGGTTAAAAAATGGAATTTTGTTAAATTTCTCATGTTAAATTTGTATTTACATACATGCATATAAGTGCTATATATATATATACACCCACGCATACATATATATACATTTAAAACAAATTATACAGATACTATACTATATATACAGATATACCATATATATCTATATTGAATAAATGTAAATGATATATAATGCAAATGCTACAAATCGTCGTTATACAAATACAAAATCAAATTGAAATTAAATAAACAAATATAAAAAAAAAAGTCTGAAACTGACTTGAATTGTGAATATATATTCTCTTGTACACAATTATTATTATAATTTATGCTCGACATGCTTATCTATTCTCCTAATATTCTCTTGATAACCCGAGACTTTGTGAGTAGGAGCACGCGTTAAACAGCTTAAACTTAGAGAGATATTACATGGGAAGTAAAAGTTAAAGACCTAGGCAACATAAATATATATTTGTATATCAGTGAAACCAACATAAAGATACGCTCATATCTCATACGAGAAATACATTTAAATATATGTATATCATTATCTCCTTTGCATATCCCAGAACAGACACATAGATACATTTGTATCTCAGGCTAAACGTCTATAAGAAATACATTTGTATCTCAGAAATAACAAAACAAACAGAATGATACATTTGTATCTTTTCTGCGGTTTTCAATTGAATTTCCAATTTCAATTTGGCTGATGGCAGCCAGCTGTGCAGCCATTGGATCGTCTATATATAGACGATGCGATTAGCAGCCAATGGCCGGGCAGAGGCAGAAGCAGAGGCAGCCGCAGCAGAAACTGAAGCAGCTACAGAGGCAGTGACAGAGCCAGACACCAGCAGGGTAGACCACTTGACGTCGTCGGACTGTCTGGGCGAACCGCCAGACGCCAGATCCTTTGTGATTGTGTTTTAAATAAGTGCAGACATACGCCAGATCCTTTCAGTATTTAGCTGAACGTGCAGCTGATTAGATCTACGTATATATCTCTCTCGCTCGCCTTCTCTAGTCTGTCTTTTGGCAATGCAGTCTCTTTCGGTTAATCTGGCCAGCGCCAAGGAGCGTCGCCTGCTGAGAACACCCAAGTGCGCGCGCTGTCGCAATCATGGCGTCATCTCCTGTGTCAAGGGTCACAAAAAGCTTTGCCGCTGGCGAGAATGCTGTTGCCCCAACTGTCAGCTGGTGGTCGATCGGCAGCGTGTAATGGCCGCCCAGGTAGCGTTAAGACGCCAACAGACTATGGAAGCTCTGGAGGTTACACAAACAACGTCGCAGCAGCTCGCTGTGGAGCCGGCCAGCGACGAGGAGCAGCAAGTGACGCCCACCAAGCCAAGCCAAATGGCAGCTAACACGTTGCGCACGCGTCAAGTCTTGATCGCCCAGAAACGCATCTACAAGCAGAGGCTGCGCAATCTGCAGCAGTCCACGCTGCACATCACAGCCGCAATGGAAGGTAAGCGCAGCTAAATCAGTGATGGCACAGCTTAAATGTGAAGCCAAATTCATTAACTAGCCGAAAACCAGCTAAAGAGCAAAATCAAGTGTAAATCTGAATAAGAAAAAAGAAAATAGGTGAATTTTTCTAATAGCTTTTTCTGCAAACTCAGATTGCAATAACTGACTTTCCGTTCAGTTCACTTTCAAGCCAATAACTACATAATTAGCCAAAGAAGCGCCAAGCTGTCAAAATGCAAGACTTAGCTAAAAAATTGCTAACATGCTACCACTGATCCAAGGCGGGCGCTCGCCATGCGGTGCCAGACTGTCTGGCAAGGCTTGTAATATGAGTAAAGTGTGAAGAAGAGGACAAGGGAGACAGAGAGAATGAGAGAGAGAGCGTGCGTGAGCGGCAGGAAATGCCTGATTCGTTACTAAAACAACAATTACAATAAGGAGAGCAACAAATTTGTTAAAACGTCACCCACTGAAATTGAACGCCTGTCGTATGCACGCATATTGTCCGTTATGTCAAAAAGTAAGAAAAGAAAATCAGGCTGTGTAGAGGAGAGCAGAGGATAAAAGAAACGTCCAATCTGTAGGGCAAGCCCAATTTTCAATTGTGTAAATTGATACGTGAAAACGGAAAAACCTCTTGAAGCGAATGTGTGGCAAAAGTCAACAGGGCAACGAAAACAACCAAACCAATCGAATTTTAATTTTTTTCACTATTTTTCCATCTGGTTTCCAAGTAAAAACACAAACGAAAATCCACACAGTCAATATTTGGTGCCGTACTGTCTGGTTATAGTCTTTTGGTCTAGGGTCGGGATATTGGGTTCTGCGTAGCTCAAATTACGATTCAATTGCCATGTGCTACACGCAGAGAAAGAAGTATAAGAAATTCTAATACAATCAGAACATTAATATTGTTACTTGAAATTAAAAGATATACAATTTAGTCTCAATGCATATGTATGCATTACTTAAGGATAAACTTCTTAATATTGATCATGTATATTAATAAACTTCAAATTACAATATTAGTATTCAGATCTAATTTCATTGAATTTCAATGTACTCTTTTCTCTGAGTGTATACACGCACACACATGCTGAACGAATTGAGACAATTGGAAAGCAATTTGTACAACAGATTTGACGCCAACGTCAAGGAAAGAGGGAGATCAAAGAGCTGCACCCTTGCCTGCTCTTACGTACTCGTTGCGTGTAATTTCAATTCTAATGCCCTGCCCCTTTCCTGTCTTCATATTCTACTTGCAGAATACAAACAGCGGTTTCCCACGTTCAATTCGCCGTTACTGGAACGCATGCGCAAGCGACGCGCGTTCGCTGATCCGGAACTGAACTATGCAATTGATACAACGCTCCTTGGCAGCTCCGCCTGTGTCGGCGGCGTCGGAGGCAGTTCAGCAGCTCCTTTGCCAACGCCACCAACAGCAATTGGCAACGCCTTTTATGATCTATTAGGTAATGCCGCCGCAGCAGCTGCTGTTACGCAACAGAAGCAACAGCAGGCATATCAATCACTGCCGCACTTTACGCTTACACCCGCGCCAACACCCATCGCAAAGAAACCCAAGCTGAGTTTCTCAATTGAGTCGATTATTGGTATTAGCACGTAGCTAGAGCACCCTGAACTATTATCGCCACAAGCTGTATATATGTAGACTTGTATTCTTATAAACATATTTTTTTTTTTATTAGTATTACGATTCTTACGAAATAAAACAATTTTCTAATATATTATTGCTGATTGCTCATCTTAAAAATAAGAATTTTAACAGTTAATTATTTAAATGCGCGCGCTACCACCTGTTGCCGTTTGATAACATTTAAAACACACTTATCGATAGCAGGGATACTGATAATGAAATCGTCGCTGAATTTTACTTGTAAATCTTTTGAATTTATGACTGTCAAATAATTACAAACATTTTTTTTTTAATTGAACATTTTCAATATGCATTGTTAACTGTTTTAATAATTTATTAGAAACAAACTTATTTTTCTTTCATGCTTAAAGGGGCGTTGCCACCTGTTGATATTTTGTGCGATTAGCTTGGGGCTGCTATTTGTGCGTGACTCAGTCACTGCTTTCCAGCATATTGATAAACTTTCACATGTAGCCATAAACAACGCTCTCCTGGTTGACTCAGAAGCAATGACAACTATTTTTTACACCGAACCTGAATTGGTGCTTGGCCATGGACGTGAAGTGCTGTTCCTTAATCCGAATGACTTGCAAATTTTCAAAAACATCGAGGTGCCAGCTGACCTAACCACATGTGGACTTAAAATCGAAGCAACGGACGAGGGCGAGCCGAAAGCAACTTGTGGCTCCAACTTAGAGGTGTCAATATTAAATGTGTGCTATTCGCCAGATAGACAGTTGATAGCACTAACTACTGTCGGGCAAAAGGCTCTGCTGCTCTACAAAAGCCGGCCGGAGCATGCAATGCTGCTTTCTGTGCGTGCCTTGTCTCGTGCCTCGAGTGCTTTGGCATTTGCAGCTGATTCCAGCTCCGTTCTTGTGACAGACAAGACGGGGGATTGCTATCAATACGATTGCGTGGAGGTGGAGGCACCGCCCAAACTGCTGCTTGGTCATCTAAGCATTGTTTACGACTTAGTGTGGACACCGGATCTGAAGCATATCATCACCTGCGATCGGGATGATAAGATCCGGGTGACCAACTACCCGGCTACTCACGACATACACAGCTATTGTCTGGGCCACAAGGAGTTTGTATCTGGACTGGCATTGCTCCCAGGCAACGATGATCTCCTGATATCTATTTCAGGTGATAAAACACTGCGCTTGTGGAAATATCTGACGGGCAAGGAGGTACTGCAGCAACAACTGCCAGCTCCAGCTGTGCGGCTTCAGATGCGAGAACTTATCGAATCCAAGCGTTATCTATTAGCCGTGCTATTCTACGATCATGTAGAAGCAATTGGCCTCTACGAACTGGAGCTAAAAAAGGATGCTTGGTCGATTGCCAAGGAGTCTTTGGTGCGTGCAGAGGCGGGTAGCTGGAACATAACCAATTTTGCTTTGACCAGCGATCGGATCTATGTGGCTGGTGCTGTAAACGAACGCCTAACGCTCCGCGTGTACAATAGCGCCGATGGCAAAGAAGCGGAGTCCGTGCCAGAGGGTTGGCTGGACATGGTCATGGAAAACTTTGCGGAGCAAAGGTGCGTGCCAGAAGATCTGTCCGTGTGGTTTAAGAAGCGATACGACAACATCAGCGAATACATGGAACGTAAAAAGCGACGCATCGAGGACCAACAGCAAAATCAGAAATAAGACCCACAGGAGCAGGACGAGAAGCAGCAGCAGCAACAACACCAATATTAACAGCACAAATTCCTCAATCAAATCTCTTGCATACAATGAAGAGAAGAGAAATATATTTAAATTGTATGTATACCAATTGCCCTTTGTGTATTGTTAGCAAGGATATCGATCTTTTCAAGGGCGGGCTGCATTTACAGTGCATGTAATCGTGATAATTAAGTCAACAGTTAACTAGATTCAACTTCATTTGTATATGTATATATATTGGTCTCTGCAGACAAGTATGTTATATATTTAATATTTAAAATAAATGAAAATTAAACTGGTTTGTAATCCAATTTGCTTTCGAGCTTCTTGTTGTCCGAAACTTTGCGCACGGCCTTCATGAAGTCCTCCTGAATTACATATTCCCGTTCAGCTCTGCAAAAGAAATTGAAATATGCGTATATAGAGCTGGATCTTATAGATATATAGACTTGACTTATACATACATAGATGCAGATATATCTAGGACATGATTATTATATTATCTAGGGTATTACCTGATGGCAAAGAGGCCCGCCTCGGTGCAGACATTACGCAAGTCGGCGCCATTAAAGTTGTCCGACAATTTGACTATAGCTTCGTAATCGATTTCGCCATGCTTTGCGATCTTAAGCGCATGAATCTTTAGGATCTCCAAACGTGCCTGCTCATTGGGCAGGGGAATTTCAATTTTACGATCCAAGCGACCCGGTCGCAGCAGAGCGGGATCCAGGGTATCTGGGCGATTGGTGGCCATAATCATTTTCACCTGACCCAATGAATCGAAGCCATCCATTTGATTGAGCAGCTCCATCAGTGTGCGCTGTATCTCACGATCAGCGGAGGTGCCCTCTGAGAAGCGTCGACCACCAATCGCATCGATCTCGTCCATGAATATGATGCAGGGCTGATGATCGCGTGCATAGTTAAACATTTCACGTATCAAGCGTGCGCTCTCGCCAATATATTTGTCCACGATGGCCGAGGAAACAACCTTCAGGAAATTCGCATCCAGCTGGGAGGCAACTGCGCGTGCTAGCAATGTTTTACCCGTGCCAGGCGGTCCATAAAGCAAGCAACCCTTTGGAGGCGTGATGCCAACGCGGAGGAACAGCTCAGGATTTAGCAAAGGCAGCTCGATAACTTCACGCAGTTCACGTATTTGCTCTGTAAGACCACCAATTGCCGAGTAGGTGACATCGCCAGGATCTTCATGGGACATGTTGTAGACCAACGGATCGACTTCACGTGGCAAATAACGCATTATGGTCAACGTGGTCATATCCAATGCAACACGGGTGCCAGACTTCAATTTTGCCTTATCCAATTGGCGACGGCAGCCAACCACATAGCGCGGCCCATTTGTAGCCTTCACAATAACTGTAAATAACAAGTCATTTACATATATATATATTGAGTAGGATATTTGTAGGCGACTTACACTTATCCTCTGTCAATTGCTTCAGCACCTCGCCGACAATTTGGCCCACGCTTTGCAGCGCCTTCAAATCATTCTCGGATTTGTCATATAGTTTGGTCAGCTCCTTCAGCTCTTCACGCTCTGGATAATTCATAATTTTTAATTATTTGATTTTGTATTTTTAATGCTATACCCACTTTCTTTGAGTCGTCCCTCAACTTCTTTGTGTTCCAGCAGCTTTTTTCTGTAGTCGGACAGGGCCTTTTCCCTTATACTCTCGTTGCATGGTGCGGCAGTCACAGTCATCTTAGATGTTTATTTTTGAAATATTTTCAATAAACTATAAACATAAACGCTTTTCCCTTATAAAAATGAAGCCGTCTTTAATGATATTGCAGATTTGCAAAACAGTGTGACCGCAGCATGGTAAACATTTTAGGCAAATGCTAAAAATGGTCATCTTTAATATACCAAACTTTAGCAAAATTCTTGCAATTCAGTACGCTGTGCACTGGAAATGGATAAATAACTTAGATCAATAACCTGGACAATACCATATATTATATATGTTTGACTATATATAATAGCTTAAATGGAATCAAAAGAGCATTCTTATTTTGTCATTTTTGTGCACGTCAAGCGCAAGCAAAATATATATTGAGCTACTTCACAAAATTTGTAGGATTTTAGCAAGATCAACACAAAGACAAAGCAAGCATTATAATTTGTAGAGCACTTTAATGAAATCAAATTAAAAACAGTTCACGTTATTTTGTTGCCCCAATACTACCAACGGTCAGTGCTTCTGACGTCACAAATAAACAGCAAAAATACTGCACTACATTGCATAGTAGACAACCTATAGAGGCACTATTGTTTTGTTGTGCCATAATGCCGTTAACCGCTCAATTTGTGCGCAATTTGCAGCGGTTCCGTCTAGTGACCTTTGACGTAACTGATACTCTGCTCCGACTTAAGGATCCCATCAAGCAATACGCTCAAACGGCAGCAGCATGTGGAATAACCGGCATAACCAAAGAACAGCTGGAACCCTGCTTTCGGCAGCACTTTAAATTGATGAGCAAGACGCACGCAAATTTCGGGAGCTGTTCGCCAAATATGAATTGGCAAACCTGGTGGCAGCAGCTGGTGATCGATACATTCACGTGCGTCGATGCCAATCTACCAAAAGCAACACTTCAAACGGTAGCCGAGCAGCTGCTCGAGGTATTTCGCACCAGCGCCTGCTGGACACGAATCGATGGAGCAACCAGCTTCGTGGAACGCGTTCGGGACACCGGCAAATGTGTGGGCATCATCTCAAATTTTGATCCCTCGCTGTGTCAGGTACTCAACGCCATGGGATTCAGTGATAAATTTGATTTCATCATCAACTCCTACGACGCGGGCGTCATGAAACCAAATTCCGGCATATTCCAATTGGCTTTGGAGAAGGGCCGAAATATTGCACCTGCCGAAGCGCTACACATTGGCAACAAGCTGGACATGGATTATATGGGTGCACGAAATAGTGGCTGGAGCAGTCTCCTCGTGCAGGAAGAGAACAAGGAGCAGCCACTACAACGGAGTAACCAGCAGCTGCAGCCCGAGGCCAGGCACAGCTTTGCGAGTCTCGCTCAAATGCTACAGGCGCTCGAGACTCAAGAGATATCCTGGTGAAGGCACACGAAAGGCTCGCTGAAGCGATCAGCCTAACCATACAAAAATATATTTTGGTTAATTTACATTTTTAGTTTCCTTAAATCTTCATTAAAACCCGGATCTTTATGTTGATAAATGTTGTCGAATATTTACGTTTTAATTTAAGCAAACAATATGTAAATAGAAACTAATTGTTTTATTGCTGTTTTAAATGTTCGAAAACAAACTATTGGCTGTTTTTTTCTTCTCTTTCATCCTATAAGTTTTCATAAAGATAATTAAGAACATAAAATAATTGCAAAATTTACATTTCAAAAATTGTAATTTGTAAAAATTTGTAATATTTTAATTGCAATAGTAAGTTTGTTTAATATTTTATTTTATTTGTTATCATACATAGTTTGTAACTTAATTTTATTTATCAAAATTATATTTTTAAAAATCCTATTTTTCAAAATCAAACTCTTAAGCTTAGCTTTAAAGCATAACTTAAACTAAATTTACAATGTATATAATAACTAATGATAATATATATAAATAAATCTATGTGTATATATAAAAATTAATGAATATACATAAATATATAATATATATACGTATAATTTTTATTTGTGCATTTTTTTTTAAATTTTAAAATGAATAAAATTCGATTCTACCTTAGATAGAAGCTTTTTAACCTAAATAATAACGATACTCAGTGATGAAAAATTAGTAAATAAATTTAAATTTAAAATTAATTTGTGCCGATTAATAAAAATATAAATCCAATTTTCAAAATATTAATTAGACATTTTTTAAGAAAAAATTTTTGGTTACCATAAAGTAAATCTAGCAATATTAATAAAAATGCCAAGTTGTTAAAATAAAATATTTGTTTGCTTATTTAATAATTAATTTTAATTATTTTAGTTATGGAATAAACTAATTTGGTTTGAAGCAGTAAAAAAAAAAAAAACAAAAAAAACAAGTAAGAAAACTCTAGTCGAGAGCGCTCGACTAGATACTACCCTGAA